TGATCATGCAAGTGAGCAAAGACGCCATAGCCACCGAGGCGTAGGTTTCTCGCAGTCCAACCAGTTTTACTCAGTGTTCGTTTCCGCGACCCTCGCTTCTGGGTCTTAGTGTGAGAAAGGGTCAGGCATAGAGATTATCTACCAGATAGATATGCTCTTATTAGCCCCTGCGCGAGGCCCGACCCCTCGCCGTTGCTGGGGTCAAGTGTCACTAAAGATCGGGGAGTTTGAAAGCGAAATGGATAAGAGAAAGTATACGTTTATTAAGGGTAAAAGCAGCGTAGCTGCTCGATGTTCCAGGCATTGACAAAGACTTTGCCGTCGATGGTCTTGAGCTTGTAGGCGCCTGGTCAGAGCACCTCCGTGACGACATATGGTCCCTCCCACGGCGGAGAGAGCTTGTGGCAGTTCTTGTTGCTCTGGACAAGGCGGAGCACCAGGTCCCCGACGTTGAAGGCTCGACCCTACACTCGACGACTGTGGCACCGACGCAACACTTACTGGTACTTGGCCGAGTGGAGGAGGGCAACATCATGTGCTTCATCTAACTGGTCCATGGCATCTTCGAGAGATGCTTGGGCTCCCTATTTGTCGTACGCTCTGACCCTTGGCGATCCATAGTCAAGGTGTGTTTGTGCCACAAGGTGGCCAACGGTCTCTGCGGCGTTGCGGAGACCAAATGGGAGCGTTGTCGGGGCGCTCTGGATGAGGTATTTCGGATAGAGCGGCTCTCCTCCGACAAGCTACGTCATGCCGTTAACGAACGAGAAGGTGAGGTGGCGTAGGTCCTCCTAGGATGGTTGGGGTCCCAGGAAGGCGTAGAGCTGGCACTCGAACCTCCCGTAGTCGAAGCCGAGGAGCTGGTCGCTCCCAAGGGTGCAGGCCTCCGGTGCGTGCAGCTGTAGCTCCTCAAGCGCCTCGGTGATCGTGTCGAGGCTGGCGGAGTGGAGAGGTTGGATGGCGGCGGGATCCAGCGCCAACTCTCCCTCGTCGTGACGATGAAGTCCAGGTCCCCGAAGTGCACGTGCGTGCCTGGGACCTAGCTGACGTTGTGACTAGCCATCCGAGGCTTGGTGTGGATGTCGAGATGCACAAAAGGCCCATACCTTGCGCGCCAACTATTGGTGTTTCGAGTTACCACCAACGAGTAAATTTCTAATATTGCGCGTCTAGCTTAGATAGTGTGCTTAGAGGACACGAGGTTTACACTGGTTCGGGCAGAATGTCCCTACGTCCAGTTTCGTCATCGCTGCTCGTGTTACTAGCACCAAAAGCTTGTAGTAAGGGTTATAAACGGGCGAGAGAGGGACATGTCCCAGGTCTCTAGTGGAAAGAGTGAACGGGTGCCGAGAGCTCGGTTGCTGCTTAGCCGTGTGCTTGTGTTGTGTTCTGATCGGTTCAAGGTTCGATGGGTTCGTGATGGTTCGATCAGGTCTGGCCTGGATCGATCCGATGCCAGTCCCCCTCCATGGGATGACCTGCTTTTTATTTTATAGACTAAGGAAAAGCAGAGGTTACTGCGGAGGAAAATAGAAGAAACGAGAGGGAGAGGACGGCCCTCAGGACCGTCGGGTCCTTCTTATCCTTCATGCGGGTCCCGCCGACCCTGTAGATGTCAACAGGGATAGCTCCACGTCGTGGCCCCGTCCGCCACTGGCGCCACGCGTAGGCGTCGTTTACCGGTCATGTCGTTCCATTCCATCGCAGCGGACGTCGTGGTGAGCTGACGCGCCTGTCAATGTTCGTACGAGGGTCAGGCAGAATAGCACCGGTACTTCCGACGCTGTTCTTGATGTGAACCCTCCGGTATAGCCCTCCGTGGCCACGGGTTACATCGGGGTGTGCTGGCCTCTTCCCTGGTGTCAGAGCTTTGACCCAGGCCCATACGATTGGACCTGGAGTGGTTGGCGGCGGCATGGGTCTCCGTCGGGTGAGACGGAGTCCGCGGCCTTGGGATCGGGCGAGGCGGAGCGCAAACCCAAGGGTCGGACGAGGTAGAGCGCAAACCCAAGGGTCGGACGAGGCGGAGCGCAAACCTAAGGGTCGAGTGAGGCGGAGCCCGCGACCTTGGTGTTGGGCGAGGCGGAGCGCTCCCCAGCGCCCGGACGAGGTCGAGCGCAAACCCAAGAGTTGGGCGAGGTGGAGCCCGCGGCCTTAGGGTCGAGCAAGGCGGAACCCTCCCCCAAAGGCCGGGCGAGGCGGAGCGTAAACCCAAGGTTCGGACGAGGCGGAGCATGCGGCCTTGGGGTCGGACGAGGCGGAGCCCTCCCCCATGGGTCGGTTGGAGCTGTAGTCGCGCTCTTCGCTCGGATGAATCAATGTTGATGGTTATTAGCTCCTCCTCTTCGGGTACCCTAGTATTGGTCCCCGACAGTTAGCTCATACCGCTTCCAATCCAAATTATAGAATAATTTTGGCTTTACCTACATTGTTTTTCTCTGTATTTAGACACAATGCAGATAAATGTATAGTAAAAGGTACGTACTAAAAAATCAAAACGTTATAGTTTTGAATGAAAGGAGCAACTAATATTAGGCCTTATTTGCACAGTTCTATTTCACTGGTGAAGTCATTTTTTGTTTCAACTCCACTGACATATTTATTGGTGGAGCTAAAGTTATTTTAGTGAACCATTTGACAAAACAAAATATATGTTACGCGATAGCCCAGGCACGTCAATGTTCGTCAGTACCAAAGCAGGCAGAGGTGTCACAGATGTACAGTTGCTATATAGCTAACCAATAGGTACTCCGTTTGTGTAAGAAAGAGTATAATTCTAGCACAATGTCATATTTTATTATCTTAATTTAACTAATTATAGATAAAAAATTATGAATATTTATGATATCAATAAGTATCATTAAATTAATTACAAAATGTATTTTTATAATAAATTAATTTAGAGCCATAAATATGAATATCAGTTATTAGAAATTTGATGAAACGAGAATCATTTTAACTGGCATGCAAATTACAGTTGCATTCTTTTTTATGGAGGAAGTACGTAATAAACAACGTGGGTCCATGTGTCTCGTACAACTAATATTTCTACAGGACAACCGTTCTGATTGCTTGTTTATAAGTCGTATTTTTTCAGCCAACGGATATTATTTTTCTCTCATAATAAATCAGCAACGGTACTTTCAGTCATGACTTCTCAGCTCAAGCGAACATGACAAACATTGGAGGTCCGCAACTTTGCATCATGTGCTGTCTCTGCTTCTACCAGTAATACTTCCCCTGTCTAGAAATATCGCTATGAGATTTGTATTGATCGAACTTTTCTAAATTTGACTAAGATTTACAATAACAACATTAGTATCTCAAATAATTTTATTATAAAAATATATTCAATGATTTATCTAATAATATTAATTATACATCACAAATATTAATATTTTCATTTTTGGTTAAAGTTGGAAATATTTATCTTCTTTTAGAAAGTGATGAAAATGACACTCTCTGTGAGGACGATAGATTTGTTGACATGATGAGAACTGCTCAAGCCAAAGGAAATACGGACTTTTTCTTTGTCCACGCAATAGTACAAGAGAATTAATGCAGCACAGTGTGATGAACTAAGGGCGCGTTTAGTTGCGAAATTTTTTTGTTTTGGTTACTGTAGTATTTTCGTTTGTATTTAGTAATTAGTGTCTAATTATGGACTAATTAAGTTCGAAAGTTTCGTCTTGTGATTTCTCACCCAACTGTGCAATTAGTTTTTTTTTCATCTATATTTAGTACTCAATGTATATACCGCAAAATTCGATATGACACTTTAGAGTGAAAATTTTTAGACCTAACCTCTTTTATTAAAAGAAACGAAACAAGACGCAGTCCCCTGAAGTAAAAAATATTGAGAGGAGGAAAGGCAGAAGCCATGGTACAGTACTCACGTGTGCGCCACCCGATAAAGCAAGATTCAAAGATATTTACAATAATATCAATTACATACCATAAAATATTAATATTTTTAATATATATTTTGTCAAAATTGTTTTTCGAGAAGCAAAAGCAATAAATATTTTAGAACAGAGGGAGTACATGTAAATACTTTAGCCATGTCAATCTTTGATATCAATTAAGAGTATTAAATATAGATTAATTATAAAACTAATTATATAGATATTGCTAATTTACGAGACGAATCTATTAAGTCTAATTAGTTTATAGTTTGACAATATGATGTTACAATAATATAATTGCTAACGATCGATTGATTAGACTTAATAGATTCGTTTCGTAAATTAGTTTAGGTTTCTGTAATTAATTTTATAATTAACTTATGTCTAGCCGAACATTCAAGCGATAACGACTAAAGTTAGCACTACGCTGGCACGAGTTCGCCCACACGGCTACAGGGGTTGTGTGTGCGTGGGCGTGTCTGACTACACACATCATGAAATGTGTGAGGCCGTGGCCCATATTGACGCCCAGCTCGTGGGATAAATAGGCCCGTAAATGTAGGGCCCAGTTACAAGGGTAAGAGGCCCAGTTGCACGGGTAAGAGCGAAATGGTGTCGCCCGTGTATCATAGACAGCACAAATACACACGTTGATCTGTTTCAGCATTTCAGGTGCGAAGTCGTCAACTGTCGGCTGTCACGAAATTTCTGTAACGGGCACTATATATATGCAGTTATACAAACAAAGAAAATCCAGAAAATTTCTCCAAGCAGCGCATAAAAAACTATCTTAACAATACATGCAGTATTGCAGAGTTACTGACGTTGATTCATGCTTTAAGACGCACTCATATAGTCCTATGTGCAAATGCCACCAATCATCGCCGATCCAACCATTCGATGAACCCTACTGGTACTAGCTGCGACTAGTCATCTCCTAATAATAATAATAATAATAATAAAGCAGATCATGTCGATGCGACAGTACATAAACGGAAAAGCTAAAACACACTCGGGTCTAAATAAATTTTCTTTAAAAATGCCAATGCGTCCTTAATCCATGCAGCGTACGTAGTTCGTTGTTCGTCTACGACTCTACGAGGAAGATGCCGCCGTGAAATCGACGTGGTACACCTCGGTCATGTCCGGCTGGAACAGGCCGAAGTGCTGCTCCACGCCCTCGGGCTTCTTGTTCTCGTTGAACATGGCGAAGACGAAGGCCTCCACGGCCTTCCCGGGCCGCCGCGGCGTGCCGCGCCCGCTCCCGACGTGGCGTACCACGTTATTGACGTACGCCGCCGCGTTCCCCACGCTGGCGCCCGCGCCGCCGCCGCCCGACGGCCACCCGGTCTCCGACACCACCACCTCCAGGCCCGCCGGCGCGCCGACCCTCTCCAGCGCCGCGTACACGGCGTCCACGATGGCGTCGAACATGTTGCCGTACGACGCCCCGCCGTCCGTCACGGTCACGGCCCCGCCCGCGCCGCCCGAGGCGGACGCGGACTGCAGCAGCGCGTAGTCGAGCGGCACCGACGACGGGTCGGCCGAGTAGGCGAAGTACGGGTACACGTTGACGAGCAGCGGCGTGGACCTCGACGCCAGGAACGACGCGATGGGCGCCAACGACGGCAGCGCTGCCTCCGAGAAGGCGCCATGCGACGGCGGGTACGAGGACCCCAGCACGGACGTCGACACGGCCGTGGTGACCGGCACGCCGCCGTCTCCGCCGAGCCCCGCGGCGCAGAGCGCGGACTCGAGGTTCTGCATGGCCGGGAGGACGTAGGAGGCGAGGTCCCCCGGAATGACCTCGTTGCCCGCGGCCACGTAGCGGAAGCGGACGGCGCCGGCGAAGGGCTGCACGTAGGCCTGCACCCACGACGCGGCGAACGAGGGGTCGGAGGCCAGGCGGGCGAGGTCCTCGTTCAGGGTGCCGAGGACGACGCCGAGGCCTGAGCCTTGGAGCGCCACGAGGACGGTGGTGTCCGGGTGGAACAGCCGGACGTCGGTGATGCTCCTGGACTTGCACAGCGCGATCACCTTGTCGGGGGACGGCAGGTTGTTGGCGATCATGCCATAGTTCACGCCGATGCCTTCGACTCCTGAACGACACATAACTCTTGAACAGTAAGCAGAGAACGACTGATCAAAGCATGCATGAAACTTCGAGCTGTTAAAACTAACTTAACAAAAAGGCAATGCAATTCATGCTAATTTATCCTGTTGAATCTAACCTCCTAACATGGTAGGAGTACAATACAACTCGTATCAATTTGTTGGGAGATTTCTTGCAAATTGTGTACTAGGCTGGGGAAAATGTCCATCACTATTATTAGTATGTATGGACATGGATCCTTTGAATTCCTTGATTTCCTTTAGGGAGCAGCAGTAACTTTGAAATGGAAAGTGCACAGGTTGAAATAGAAATTGTACTTTGGATCTCTCCTTTGTAGCTATCGCCAATTAAGGCGTGCATTGCAGTACTACTACTGCTCTTCATAAGGGGCTATGTATCTCTGTTGATGTTTCACTATCATAATTGAACACATAACTTCAGATTGACAGGCGAACCAACATGGCAACAAGAACCCGCACAGAAATTAAACCAACCATGGCTAGCTGATCCATGGAGGAAGGAGACCATCTGTCAAGAGGGTTAGACGAGAGAGCCCGACCATGCATTAACGTGAAGTCGTTCAGAACAGAACAGTGAAAGCAACCCTCCAGCAGCAGCTTATAACAAACAAAATAAAGGATGCTGTTTACTGCGTAAATGATTTCTCGACTTGGGTACAAAACAGAGGTATACAGGTCAGAGCAACAGAGCCAGAACCAGAACAGGCTGTAATGGCTAACAATCCACGTTAAAAAGTTATCCAAATAATAAAAGTCATGTTCGCTTGGCTTATAAGCCATACTTTTTTCAGTCAACGAACATTATTTTTTTCTCACAATAAATCAGCCATGGCTTATTAGCCAAGCGAACATGGCATAAGCTCTCGTGAAACGGAAAGGTACAGGTGAAAGTAGACACTAATCTTTAATGCCTCGGCAGAACTCCTGCCGCTTCTGTTGAGAAAGAAAAGATAATAACAGAAACCAAACAGCGACAATATCTGACATTTGCAAGAATCAATTACTCGTCGAAAGAAAAAAAAAATCAGCCTATGTAACGTTGGGTCTGTTTTCATGTTCCTAACAAGAAGCAATTGCACGTTCTAACTACGGCACCGTATAGGCGTATACTCAAGACAGTCAATATCGCAACACCTTGGAACAGATGGACACATAGTAAGAAGGTAAACCAAATTCACCAGCTAGCAGCTGTGAAGCGATGCGCTCAGCACCTGAGAAGGACAACGAGAGAAGCAAGCTGCAGCTGCAGGCGGAGATCCACAGAGCGGCGGCGGCCATCCTCATCGCGGTTCCTCGTCAGGCTTGGAGCAGCATCAGGCAGTTTCTTTTTTTCTGCAAAAATTTCTCTGCTTCCTTGTGAGCCTTCCACCTCCGCCTCCGGCACGCACGGCTCGCTATATATATGGGCGGGCCCTGCAACCACCGATTGGCCACGACCCAATAGGGCCGCGCGTGCCCGTGTGTCAGGCGGGCACCGAAACGCACGGCCTGAACGTCTATGTGAGTCGCGATGCGGTTGATGCCTGATGGAAACTGCACGTCCGCCGCCGGGACTTTCCGTGCTTGGTCTGCCTCCAGATTCAGCAGGTTCGGTGCTTCGACGGGAAACTCTACTTCTCCATTATGGTCAACAACAACAATCATTTGGGATGCAATCTGCTGAAAGGAAAATTTTCCCGCGTCTTTCGTGCGTATGCCTTATTTGGACCATATAAGGATTTATATTAAAGTGACGCTTACGAACATCTTGAATTTTGGAGAAACTTTAAAAGGTTGTCTGCTATGGTTTAGCACTCCACACATTCGCCTGTTTGTTGGTTGGTTTTTGGGCTGATAAGCTCGGCTTGTGCTGGTTTGTTGTGAGAGGAAAACACTGTTGCCTGGCTGATAAGCACTGACCGAAACCAACAAGCGAACAGGCTGATTGATTATAGCCACTTTGACACACAGATCGCGGAATGGTCCGATTTTGCCAACTAAACTGTGAATATCAGTGCAAATTTTACACAAAAACTGTGTCTTCCAGAAGGAAAATGAAAACAGGCGTTTTACCATTTTCATAACACGTGTGATCAAGGAGAAAAAGCTCTTCTGTTGGCAAACAAACGACGCAAATTTCAAAAAAAAAAAACGGCCCACAAAGATGGGCCGACGCTCTTTCATTTTGGCCCACGAAAACAGTTGCGAAAATCAAATTTACCTTCTTTAATTGAAAAACAGTTTTGATCGGCGGCAGGGGTATGCCCCTGTATGGCAAGGCATACCCAAGATTTGGGAGACAAAATTAATATGTATATATACACACTAATACACAAGTTTATACGTATCTGGTTACATTCCCTCGTAGGCCCAATAGAACAGCCATTTTCACATTACGAAGGAAGCCAGAATACATCTGCGTGACTCCATGCCCACTTGCAGCAAGAGCTGAGCACGGAGCACCTCCCACACTCGGCTGACCGGCGCCGGCCGGGCAACACCTCGCCACCCCCCCACTCCGCCGACTCACCCCGCCCTCCACCTCGCTGGCCGGCTCGCTCAGTCGCGCCCCTCTGCCCCGCCCTTTTTCCCTCATTGGTTGCCTCCTCCTGTGTCCCCCATGAAAAGAGCCGTCCACTGGCAGCAGCGGCGCCTCTTCTGCAGCACCTTCCGGCGGCTTAAGCCTCCCCTCGGCCTCAAGGCTTAAGCAAGGTGAGCAGAGAAGATGCAGAACACCCCAGAGCCTAGATCCACTCCTCAGTGGTTCAGTGAGCTAATGAAAATTTCTTTTTCTAATTCTCTTGGTTGTATTTTTAATTTTTGTAATGTAGATGAAGAAGAAGGGTGTTAATATATTTGCATTGTGGGAGAAAAGCTGCAAAGACAAAGGCAAAGGGGGGAAAAAACCTCCACATCCACACCAAATGCTCATTCTGTTGAGATTGAGAGTAATGGAGCGATATGCAGTTAGCACTTGTGCCAGCACAATGATGGTGAAGCTCCCCAACTTGTGCCAATGCGGAATGATGATTTATTTATGTTTTGAACTTGTACTTTGGTTATTATTATGAATTTGTTTTGACCATTATAACTTATCGTCTTGCTTCGAAATTTTATACATGTGGCATACCCAGCCCATAAATTCCTGGCTCCGCCACTGATGTTGGCTGACGTAGAATCACGTCGACCTTCCTACACATGCCAGCCACCCTTGCAATAATTCAGGAGTCAATTATACTTTACCAAAAAAGTTGTAGAAATAATTTTTCGAAAAATATGCAATTTTTTTTCTGAAAATATGCATTTAAAAATACTAAAATATGAATTAATCTAAGAAAATTCATAGATTTTTTTTAACTCAGAAAAAATATGAAATCATTTTTATTTTCTTCCTTGAAAGCATGCCCTGCATCATACAAGGCTACTAATATTTAAATAAATACCTTCTCAGATTTAACTAATGTTACAACAACAATTACACCGTGCATAAACATATAGCAACTCACAAGATCGTCTAAGTTCTAACCAATAAGGGAAAGGGAAAGAAAATAACTTCTAGGTTTTGACATCTTTTGGTTGACCAAGAAGAGATGGTCGGTAGAGTGAATGGCCTTGTGCCATCTCAATTCTTTCACGCGGATCATACATTGTCTCATCTCTTATAGCCTGAAGAATCGAATCAGCAGGACGGTCCCTGTGCATTATATGTAAACAGACCAACTCAGTCAAATATCAGAAAACCTTAGTTCACTGATTTATTTCCAAACTATTGAAACATAAAGTAGAATAGCTCGCACAAAGGCAGGGGCAGAAGGAACCATGACAATCAAGTTATCAGTATGTATGGGTTAGTAATATAGGTTACTGACATAGGTAATCCAATCAAAATGTAACTGGTGTAGAGTATGTTGCGTTGGTCTTAGGTCCTAACCTCGTGATCAAAATCCTATGTAGTGCTTTTAGGATCGGGCACATCTCAACCGGCGCAACAGATCTGTTGGCTTCTGGATGCATGACACTTAAGCTATCCTGGCTAAGAAGCTCATAAAACGCTTCAACTGCAGAGACACCCTGAAATCAAATGGCAATAGGATAATTCATTACATGAACCATTTAGGCATATTCATGCAGTTCTTCGAAGTTTAGATGTCAATCAAAATTAAAAGGGCATACCTGAATGGTCCCTTTTCCTTTAATGCTGTCACCCATTTCTAATGTCAATTCGCCTTTAGCTAACTTCTGCCCATACCATGCATTACGACCTTTCAACAATGTGACATAAGTGTCAGCTAATAAGGGTCCAGCAAGTTTTTCAGGTTCTTCTTCCAGAAGGTGTGTGATGTAGATCATCTCAGATGTGCAAAGTGCAAAGTAAACGGATTTGCTGGTTGCACTCTCGTTTGTTAGTGCAGCTACCATACCTGCAAGATATCAGAATGTTCAGCAAATTAATGAAACCATAGGCCTACTTGGGGTGTCACTGAGCGCCGTGCTATGTGCATAGAATAAAGTTCACTGCACCATGCATTTCTCATCACTTATTGTCTACTGAATCTTTCTTATAAGATGCTACGGCTAACATTTTTTTAGTTTCCTTTAAGACAACACATTCATATGAAGCAGGGCATCAGAAAATTCTATGAAGCAAGGCACTGATTCAAGAACATTAACCCAAGTTGGGAGGAAACAATGAAGAATGTGGTGGGGTGGCATGTGTGGTGTTGCAAGGGTTTCTAACCCCTCGTTTTCTTCTTAATATAATGATATACGCAGCTCTCCTCCGTGTTCAAGAAAAAAAAGGAAACAGTGAAAAAGACAAATAGAAATTACCAGCACCAATAGCATAGACATTTTTTAAGCCACCCATGACTTCATGAGTGATGAGATCACTGTTATCCCACACAATAAAATGAGGCTGCCTCAAAAACTTTGCAAGAGGTTTTCTCCATTTGTCAGCTCCACAAATACGTGCATTTGCATATTCTTTGTTGTAAATTTCAGAAGCAATATTTGGTCCACCAAGATAAAGAATGTTCTCCGATGGAACTCCAGCTGCATTATACCAATAGTCCATAATAAATCATACAAAGTTAAAGAGGGGAAAACAAATACTTGGATATTAGAAGGAAGCATGAAACAAATATGTATCTGATTTGATATGGATAAATATGTATGAAAACACTACAATGTTTTGTATGCAAAAACAGGAAACTAGAATATGATTCAGGTAGCGTCTGGTGAAGCCCTATCAATTGGCTCACAGGATCGCTAACGCAATAGAAAACTTAATGGACCTCAATGCAGGATGATTGGATGAACAATTAGGTTAAATGGTTAATCAAGTGTCTTTGTCAAATTGTTGAAGAAACTTATCGAGAATATCATGTGAAGTCTAGCCATAAAATGAATATGTAGATGTCTAGATGATGATTCTACAGCACTCTGCAGAGGTTATCAGGAACCATTGTTGCAATTACAACTTTCTACTGGTAGACACCAAATGAAGACAATTCCATTCACATGTGAGTTGTCTTTGACAACATAACTGAAATACTAGTTCTAATGAAATTTGAAGCGAAGACCTATAATTGCGATTGAATATTGAGGTACCAGACTGAAGAAGCTAAGGGCAGAGATCCAAATTCGATATAACCGAGGAGAGCCACAAATAAAAACAGAGCCCGGTTTGAATTCAATAAAGAAATAGCACGATTTAATGGTTAGTTAGACGAAAGGTCGAGGAACCTCACTTGCATTGCTAATCATCTGCGTGGGAGTTATGATCCGTGGCAGTGGATCCAGCGACGCCTCTATTCCCTTGGCGAGGGAGATGATGACGGGGGCAGTGATCCTCTCCTTCCAGTACCTCCCAATCTCCCCGAACACCTCCCTGGTGTCGGTGGACGGCACGCCGTTGACGACAATGTCGGCGTCCCAGACGGCCTCCTGCAGGTTGGTGACGACCTTGAGCGGGCAGAGCGGCGTGTCGATCATGTTGAGGCAGAAGCCGTCCCTGAGTATCTCGTCGGCGTAGAGCGTGCGGTCGCCGAGGCGCGCCTCGACGTACTTGAGGTAGGCGCAGCGGCGGATCAGGCGGCGCAGGACGTCCTCGCGCGCGTTGATGACGTCGAAGAGGTGCTCGGCGGTGGCGCGGTCGACGGCGCGGCCCGGGCGGCGCCAGATGCGGACCTGCGCCTTGTCGCGGAGGTGGCCGTACGCGTCCTGTAGCAGCGCGCAGAAGACGCTGCCCCAGGCGCCCGCCCCGACGCCGACGATCCGGAGCGGGTCGCCGTCCGCCTTCCCCAGCTGCCGCCGCAGCTCGTCCAGCTTCTCCTCCACCACGGCCCCGTTCGCATGGCCGTCCGGTTGGCCCAGCGCCTCCGCCCCGCCCATTGCCTTGAGCCCTTGACCTCCTCCTCCGCCTCTTCCAGTCTCGCCTCTCGCCGCAAGCAAGGCAGGTTACATTAACCCGCCCGGTCTGACTCGTTCGGCAGAAGAGACGGGGAGGGCTGGATTACGCGACGAAAGCAGAGCTATAATAACAAATCCAGGGAGAGAAAGGAGCGGACGGCTTTTCTTTTAGCAGAAACGAGCTCGGATCGACGCGAATTCGGGTGGGTTTGGCCACCGAATCGCAGCGAGGTGGCAGAAACAAAGCGACGGCCGGAGAGCCCGAGGGAGGCGGGGCTTTGCTGCCGCCTCGGCCGCCTCTGTCGCGGTTGCCGGTTGGGTTCGTGCGCCGGTACACGTCGCCTTCGCCTCGGGCTCTCGGTTCGGCCAGATCGGCGCCTGCCCAGTGCCCACGAGGGACGAGGCAGAGAACAGTGAGGTACGGCTCGGCAGTGCGAAAGCGAGTTGGTTTTACGGCGAGGTACGGGGGCGAGGTGGCATTGTGGCAGGTCCAAAGGTATCGGTGAGCAGGGGGCGGGGGCACGGGTGGGGGTTGGTGGAGTAGACCGGTTCGAGGATTTTGAATTTTGATTGATTGATGATCATGATGGATCACCACCATGGTGGGTGACGGCGGCAGATTGGGAGCTTCTGCCAGGCAAGGCACCGGCGCCAGCTGCCCAGCTCGGCGCGGGCACGTCGGGCGTGTGGCGTGTGGCCATCACGACACAGGAAATGATGTTTCTGCAACAGTTTTTTTTACGTCATTCTAGTCTGATTTTCTCTCTTGAAGAAATTGCCATGTCAGCTAAACAGAAACCGATCCACTCGCCAAAAAAAAAAAACCCACGAAATGTTGTGCGTAAACATCGATCCGACAAAGGCGAAACTTTTTCCAAAAAAAAAAAAAGACAAAGGCGAAACTTGCACGAAAACAGGCAGCGTTTGTTTCCACACTCAATCAACTGCTCCCTGGAGAAGTACAAGTAGGAATTTGGAGGCAATATGGTCGGGGCCCATTAGCCGCATTAAAAATGCAGAACGAACTTGATCCAAACACTGATATATCGCGAAATGATTCGGCTGCACGAGCATTGCAGCTTATTTGCGGCACCAGCAACTGTAGCTTCTCTCTGCTGGCACTGTACGACAGGCTGTTTTTTTTTTTCTGCAAATAAGTTACAGCGAACAAGCTGAATTTTTATACAGGAGTGGCATACGCCTATTTAGAGCACGAGCAATGGAGGTTAACACTCCTAATAGTTTCAGTACGAATAAAGTAGTCCATATAGACTAGAAAATATTAAGACTATTATTTACACAATACAAACTATCATTTCTTAGAGTCTCAGGAGTGCACTCTTCTTCAATCATGTGTCGCTGTTATTTTCTCTCCCTCTTCTGCTTGTATGGACCGTCTTCTCTCTCCCTAAGCATACCTCGAGTAACTATGATAACTTTAGATCACCTATTTTTTTGTGCAAAATGTCATCCGATACTACATGGATTTTGGGCTACTTTTGGAGCCACCGCCACCGCGTTGGGGAAGCCCTCGCCAACCTCGCTCGTCAAGACAATGTGAGTGAATCTACAGCCAAGAACCAAGTTCCAAGAGTGGTTGATACTGATTGTACTTACCCCATTGCAACTACTCACAAGAGACTGGATGTCCCGTTTCAGAAAACCAGAGATTTTCCAATTTCTCAAGTCGGTTAAAGTTTCGTTCACTAAATCATGTTAGCAGTTTACTACAAAGAGCACCTGCCGCTTAATTGATTACTACAAAGAGCACCTGCCACTCTAAACAAACATGAAATTAATTTTATGTTTCAAAAAAAACATGAAATTAAATTTAAGCTGAGAGTATGCCCGTGAAGCTGAAACGACACAGAACAATATTTTACACCAAAGCTATTCACTGAGCGCACAAGAAAATAAATCTCGAGTTTCAGCTTATCAGAAAATGTCTATATGCAAAGTGTTTTGCCTTGCAGCTCCGGCAACGAAGCACGTGGCTTGGAAATGTTGCTCGGCAATGTATAGAGATGGGAGGAACACCAACAGTTCAAAAGATGATTATTCAGCTGCCTAAATGTGGGAAAATCATCCATGTTACAAAATACAATACTCAGCAACATCAAACCATCTACTGTGCTGCGAAAACACAGGACCAATTCTGGGGGTTCCAAACAACTTCACAGTTTCAGCTTCAGCCTCCCTGGAGAATGTCAAAAGACAGTTGAGAAAATTTGAATTTCGACAAACTGAGGTTGTCCATGTCACTTGTATGGTGCAATTATCCTCCTTCGCCGTTTTGGAATCTCCCGCTTAACATACATCTTCTCCATATCATTTAGTGGCCGGCTTGATCCATCAGGCAAGCTGATGAACTTCCAGCCCCCTCCTGCACCACGCTTTCCCTGAGAACCAAGCTTTTCGACCATGTAGCTCCATCCATTGTCTGGCCGGCGCCGGCTGTACTTGTGGCACTTAACCTCCCCTGCCACCTGCAGTCCAACATATGATTTGTTTCATCTTACCATTCAAAATTTAATTATGAAGTCGTATATGCAATCCACAACAGTGAGACAGTTTCAGCTACGGTTTTTTGTGGCCATGACATAGATAAATAATAAGATCCAGGAGTGTAACTTTAACGCACATTCGCACTGAACTATAACAGATCAGATTGCTCATCAGAAACGTAAAGCAGGTCCAATAGATGATGGAGATCAAAGAAAGTGTTTACCTTCTTCTTGTTGAATTCCAAGCACTGAACAAATTCCTCATACAACATTTGATCTTCCTTCACTGAAATTTCATATAGAACCTCATCAGGATCTCGTGTTGTGCCATCCCAGCCCTCAGGCATCACTTTGAAGTCAGGTTTATATGGAAGGGTTGCTACATGAAATTCCCTGTCATGAGAATTGAAGAACCTGCAAGAGAAAAGAAAAGAAGGTTCAGATATTGCATACTGTTGACATTCAGAAAAATTATTACTTCCTCAGGTCAAAAGACATGTTTAGAACAACCATAAAAACAACAAACATCAATAAATTCATTTTTTTTTAGTTTGGAGACATGCATGATGTGCATATTTGTATGAAAAAACACTTGCAAAATCTCATAAATTTGGAGGATTTTAAGAACATGTTCTAGAAGATATTAGTGGCCAAAGATATGCATTGAAGATCGTGCAAGTCAAACATGTATTTGTAACAAGAGGTAGTATAGCAAACAATACTGTACACATTAAGGGCGCGTTTGGATAGACGCCCTCGCATGCCTGGCCATAAATTGGTCATTGACCGTAGGCAGGATAATAGTTTTGATCCCAGCCACGTTTCGGCTTGCTCAGCACCACATGGCCAACGTGCAGTTCACTTTGCAGCCAACGCGCAGCCCGATTCCTGGGCCGCTGATTCGGGCACCTAAATTTGGCTAGCCAACTAATAGTTAAGGCACAGAACAGCAGCAACCAAACGCGCCCTAATTGCATATGTTGATATCATTTAGAATAAAAAATACAAGGAAAGATACTCGTGGCACATCAATCACATGCAATTACCTCTACACAATCTTAATATTTCAAATGGCTACGGTTAGAAAATGCAGATTTATCTTCCACAATGACATATTGACTTTCACTTCTCATTTGAGAAATACAAAGAATAAATATACTGGAGCTGTTGATATGATGATATCTATCAAGCACTAATGACGAAACGTACATGTATATCACATGAGAAATGAAACGCTGCAGAAAACCAATACATCCATTAACAACTCCACAATATGATCAGATATGTACGGTTTGTACAGAGACATTTTAAAAAATATTTTGACAAGATAAAACTCATCAAGTTTTTATATATGTCAAATATCTAACTGAGTGCACCTCATACCCTGAAAAGAATTTGTCAATCACTTCATTTCTTTGACTACACATCTAATCATATATTCAAGACAGAGAGCCAAACTACAGCATCCATTTCGAAACAGAGATACAGGTTTGTTTTCCTTCAATGGTTTAGTTCTAAGTTCTAACCTAAGCCTTGCAAGTGTGGTTACGGTTTGGAGCAGTTGATGATTCCATCGATGGAAATTTGCATGGTGCAACAATTCAGTGTCCTTACTCTCTTTGCATTTCTAACAAATTGATGTCTTCAACCGATACCCAAAAGAGTTTATGTATGTTTCTAGCTTATTTAACACTTTCAGTTTTTCCTGAACTTAAACAGGCCTAAACTATAAGAACCTGGACTATTTATATAAAAACAGAAAACCAAATCAAACGAACTATTTGACGTACTCTGGGCAGCTGTCGAGCAGGATTTCGATGGAGTCGTCGAGCGGCTGGTCCCTCTTCCTCTCCTCTTCCTCCTCCATCTCCTTGAGCCAGAGGATGGCGTGCACGCGCTGTCGCATGACGCGGAAGTCCTTGGCGAGCCGCTCCACGGTGTAAGTCGCCGGGTCCTCCTTGTGCAGCCGGTACATCTCCTGCTTCTCCGAGTCCTTGAGGTACGAGCCCCGAGCGCCCGGCTCCCGCACCTGCTTCAGCAGCGCACAGGCCTCCCGCATCCGGTCGTCCCATGAATCCACGAACGCCTTCGCCTCGACATTGCTACGCTCCAGGTCCCGGATCATCTCGTCCCACTCGTCCATGGAGCGAACGGCCGCCCGCACACGGGAGACGGGCGCGGACTGAGAAGGGACCGGGTGGCCGACGGAAGGCGAAGGGACCGGGCGGCCGACGGAGGGCGAGGATCCGTCGAAGTGGTCCTTGGTGAGGCCGGTGGACCAGGTGGAGCCCCATTCGTCCCCACCCCCACCCCCGCCCCCGCCCTCGCCGCTGCCTCCTCCGGGGAAGGAGGAGGCGCCCCATTCGTCCCCACCTCCGCTGCCCCCGGAAAAGGAGGCCGAAGAGAGGAGGCGGAGGAGGGAGGAGATCCGAGAGGACGCGGCCGCGGCGGCGGCCGGCGGCGCAGGGAGGTGGCCATGGAAGAGGGTTTTGCGGAGGACGAACATTTTGGGGTTCCGCTGGCTCGAGTGGGCTGTTGCTCTTCCGCGGTTTCAATGGTAGGCGAGTTGCCTGGGCAGAGCGAATCAGACAGAGGCCTGGCCTGGCCTGGGCGGCCCAGTTAATTTGGTCCACATCAAATTGCTTGGTGCTGTAGAACTGAAAAGTCAAGCTATGCTTTGTCCCACTATTTATGGAATAATTCATGTTAAAGTCCCTATCTCTGACTGTGGTAAATTTGTTTATCGAACGTTAGTTTCAGATTTTTTTTTTACAAAGGATTTTACTACAGCCTGCGCGTGCAGTTTTGAACGATCCTGACTGCACATTACCTTTTTGGTAAGCTGCTTCCGCTCCTTTCCTTTTTTAGCTAAGTTGCTACCGTTACACCATAACTAGAAGCAGCTCAATTAAGCTAACTGCTCATCCCCTAATTAACCTGTGGTCGTCCAAGTCCTAACGCACGCATCCGCTCGTATCTGTACGCGCGCGCCGCACATGACGCCATCAGCGAGCAGCGAAGATCCCTATGGCATCTGACGCCGCCCCACATGCGGCTGCCGGGTCCCACCGTGTGGACGGAGACCGAAGAGCTCATGGTAGATGGACGGTCGACGGAGGTTTCTAAAGAAATCAACCGTAGATTTAGTGTGCTTGAGCGTGCGCGGCCGGAAAGAAGTATTTGGGTTTTACAAAAGTAGCTACTGACCGAATTGTTAACAATTTCATGACGCATTATTAAGCCGTCCCAAACAACATTTCTGCCAGGGAGAATTTTTATGGAGGGCGCTTGTTATTTTGCATGACACTTTACACAAACTACATATAGTAAAAAGCAACATAGGATTATTTTTAAGAAAGCTTTTGACAAACCGTATGATAAGATAGACTAAGTTTTTACAGCAAGCTTTGCGAATGAAAGATTTTGTCCCAGTGCGGTGTGAGCGGAGGATTTTATTCTCCCCTAGAATACCCGTGGAATGGTAAGGTTTCCTCATGTTCTAATGAATGTAGTATTGCATATTTGCACTTGCTCTCAGCTTGGGCTGTTCTATTTACTAATCACGCTACAATGCTACGTAATGTTCATGCCTCCATTTTTTGTCCGTACAATTTCAAGATAGAGGTTCTTAATTTTGTCTTCATTCGCTTAATAGATTTCATGTTAATGTTGACAAGGAAACTTTATCCACGAAAATCTTAATACAAAACCTTACTGAAATTTTCCCGCAGCAAAATTGTGCTGCTAATTTATTTAGCCCCTTGCAATATTAAATTACTTAGATCTAAATTGCTTTGTTGTTAATGATCCTTTTCCATTATAGAATGCTCTGAATCATCCACCTTTACAAGTCCAAATGCCAAAGCATATATGCCAAGACGTGCATACAATGTGTTAAAAAAGTTATTTTTACTTTCCAAATATATAGTACTAAATATAAATGATAACCTGATCTGAAATTAATTTTTTTTTGCACTCTATACATCCCAAGTCTTTGAGAACTATATGTGCGCAGCCTTAAATATGAAGGCAGTGTCAGATTCCTCAATGTTGCCTCCAGTTCATAGTCAAGATTCAGTTTCTTTTCAATGCGGTGATCACCATCTCTGAGCTACCTAAGCCTCTGGTATGCCACCATCATTATCGCCATCACTACAAATGAACTTGAAATTCCATTGCAATTCATTCAACCCATGCCCCCTGTTGGTACCGTGTTATTCCCAAATTTGTCATATGCAGAGCTAAAATAACAGGCATGCATACAATACTACGCTAGTCATATTGCAAAAGTACGGTGGTGTTTAAATCCAGAGGCTAAAGTTTAGGGGTGTTACATCGGGTGTCACATATGATTGTTCGGATAGTAATAATAAAACAAATTACAGAAGTCCTCGGTACTCCGCGAGACGAATTTATTAAGCCTAATTAATCCATCATTAGCACATGTTTACTGTAGTTTTACTGTAACACCATATTGTCAAATCGTGGACTAATTAGGCTTAAAAAATTCATCTCATAAATTAGTCGTAATCTGTGCAATTGCTTATTTTTTTAGTCTATATTTAATACTCTATGACCCTGTTCGCTTCTCTTATAATCTATACTTTTCAGCTTGTTTTTTCAGCCGGAACAGTGTTTTCCTCTCACAACAAATTAGCTGAAACAGTGTTTTGACTTATTTTTTCAGCGAAGCGAACGGGGCCTATACATGTGTCTAAGCATCCGATGGGATAGAGACTAAACTTTAGGGAAGAATTAAACAAGGCCTAAGAAGATGAATATCCTTTACTATGGCCATAAACATAACTGGCCTCCACTATCCTTTACTATGGCCATAAACTTTATATCTGTCTCATTCTTACCTGAATGCTCACGTACCTCAGCCATAAACAGAATTGGCCTCCACTGTCACCTTCTACTTTGCATGATGACTTTACGTTTCAAACTTAAAAAAGTTGTGCTATAATTGCCCACTTTGCTTGATACTCAGACATTGTCATCTGATCTTTTTTTTACTTTACGTACATGTTCCTCATTCAGTTTATCTCTATAGAAACCAGACCATCCTACTTTCTAATATGTTGATTCTCACTTTTCTTGTTATAATTGTTTGTTGGGGCTCCATACTGATCACTACTTCCTGCACTGTATGTGCTTTATTTTATAGCCTCTATTGTTTCTCATAGCCTCCTTCTATAGGCATTACATACTATTGAATTAAACTGAGTGTGGCTATCTAATATTCTTATAGCCTCCTTCTATAGGCATTACATATTCTTAAATTAAACTCATAGTGGTTACATCCAGAATGTCATCCTTTTTAATCACGGATTTACACTTGCATGCCAATCCTTGCACGGATTACATGGCCTAGTTACATAACAAAACTGTGGTTAATTTTTTCCGTGAATATTGCTACTCCTTACTCATACAGATATAACATGCAGATAGCGCCTAGCAAATCCTATGCCTATGTTGGCTTAACTTGCAGGAGTCCCATCAAGGCCAATAATGCTGAAAGGTCATACATTTCCATAGTAGTCATGTACTGCCAAATAATTAGCTCACAGTTTTGCTTCTGTTACCAAATACGGGTGTTTCTTTTAGCTGGATATATTTAGTTGGACAGATCAATATAACACGCCATAAACCTGCTATTTATCATGCTTTCAATTTTATACTAAATCTTAGGTACTGACATGCTCCCTTATCCCATGGACGCAATCCGATAAGCATGGAACAACTCCTTTTATCTTCCTCTGTATTGTTTTGGAAGGATAAACATAATTGATTGAAATTCTTCAATTTTTAACTTTATTTAATATACCATATGTGCATGGTGAGGAATAGCTTTTACAACTCTTCCTTTTGTTCTACAGAGTAATTACTTTGTTGTTCCATTAGGTCACCAGCGATTCCCAAAAGGCGAAGGGCCTGATGCTGAGTTGCTGCCAGATCCGGACATCGAGCTGAGGCGCCGCCGCTGACGGCGAGGAAGAACCGACAGGCAGCCGGCAGGGCCAACCCCACACAGCGCAGCGAGACAGGAGAGGTGACATGGTCTGGCTTGTTCACATTGCTTCAAAAACTTTACTGCGTTCTAATCTTTGATTGGACTCATGTTGGCTAATGACATTTTCCCTTGATCATGCTCTATACCCATCGTGCTGTATAAACCTAAGTAGGGCAACGTTTCCTGGGGTTGACTGGCGATCTTTTGTACATGTTCCGAAATTATATAGGTCGTGCTTACCAAGTATGTTGAAAAAAAAGGTAAATTTACTTATGAGTTTTATTTGGTTGAAATATAGATCAATAAAAAATTTGACTCATAGTTTTCCGTATCCTAATAAAGATGTTGCTTTTATGTTACATTGTTTCTTAATTTTAGCTTCACTAATTCAGATCTATGTAAAAACAACACTTATCAAATTCTCTGTTCCTTTCTAGGAACCAGCACATATCCAATCGAGGCCATGTTGTCTCTTGATCGACCGCGACAACCAACAAAGATCCACAATGATAACTTCAAACTGCCTCAGTTCCTTTGCAGCCACGTGACATCCATATGCGAGGCCTTAGATTGGTTTGCATACTCAAATTGAGTGTTTCTTTCTTTGGCGAGATTGTTTCTCGCTAATCAGATGCTGTCACAAAAGGGCAATGTATCAATAACAGAGCTTCAGACTATTACATCATCCACCAGTGGATGGTTGCTACACAGTAAATGTGTTACATGACAATGTATTGTGTTTGGGGACTCCGTTGGACAGATTTTTTCAAACTATTATTACATCATCCACGGATGGATCGATGGTTGCTAGACTTAAATTCAAATTGTTAAATGACATTGATTCGCTAATCAGATCTCTACAAAAGGGCAATGTATCAATAACAGAGCTTCAGACTATTACATCATCCACCAGTCGATGGTTGCTACACAGTAAATGTGTTACATGACAATGTATCAATAACAGAGCTTCAAACTATTATTACATCATCCACCATGGTCGATGGTTGCTAGACAAATTAAATGTGTTAAATGACAGATTACTTACAACGTAAAATTTTTCCTCGGCCCATCGACGAGGGCACGCGCCCTATACTTGTTTATTCGAAGTGATAACGTGAGCATTAAGTAAATGAACAATTAGGCCTATTCTTCCCGACTAAAAGGCCTTAGGGAAGGTGATATTTTGTCACCAATCGTGTTCAACATTTTACGGTGGACATGTTAGCCATTATTGTCTAGAGCTAAAGGGGAAGAATAGGTTAAATGGGTTATTTTACACCTAGTAGAAGAAGATTGTTTGTCTTGTGGTATGATGATGACACAATTATTTTTATGGACCATGCTATTAAACATGCAAAGAATATGAGCAGTTATCGGGTTTAAAAATTAACTTTCACTGAACTATTTTGCTTTGTCAAGCAAAGGAATATGAGTACCAATACCCAGTTCTCTTCCGCCCCTTTAGGTGGTGTTTGGATACTAGGTTATAGGGG